AATAGCAGAGTGGGCTTCGCCTGTGTAGTATAAAGCTTTTGGGTTCCTTGATGGCTGTATGACAGGTATCTGTACACAACACCTCATTGTCCAGCTGTGGGATATCACATGAAGGTGACACAGGGACACATAGAAAATAGTTAATGTATTTTTTCTGTGTTAGTGACCTTTACATGTACAATGTAATTATTGACTAACTGATGTATAAATGAGCCACAGGCCTAGATACAGTTGTTATAAGAAGATAATTGACCTTTAGAGTTAATTGTATTAGAATTTTGTTATATTTGTTATTTATGGTAAATGAGCTTTAGGCAATCTTAAACATAATTTCTAATATATAGAATACCTAGATATTTCTTAGTAACTTGTTTTAATAAGCTGACTCTCTTCCTATTTTCTTTTTAAAAGTTAATTGTTAAAAGTTGCATCAACTGTTAGTATTTTCTCTTTAAAACTGTATATTAGAAATGGAAGCCTTATTTATTTCATACAAATCTTTCTTCCTTGACTTATGTAAATAAATAACATAAATATGTATTGAATACAAAATCACATTTACATTTCATCTGATGTTCTGTTTCTTTTTTCTCCATTGGCAACTTATACTGTTGTTTTTATATATGGTAATACTTTTAAAAAATCTACCTCCCCCATTTCTTTTCTCCTCACCTTCCTCTCGTCTGTGACAGGATCTTATGTAACCCTTGTTGGCCTTGGCTTATAGCTACAGATGACCTTGAACCAAGAATTACTTCTAACAATTTGGGTGAGGGTGACATGAGGGATGTGCATACCATGGCATGTTTGTAGTGATCAGACAGCCCCAGGTGTTGGTCTCCACCATTCCATACTGTTTGAGATAGTATCTCTCTTGTTCATTGATGCATAGCCAGAGAGTTGGCCTGTGAGCTCCTGGGGTTCTTGCTCTGCCCTGCATCTTCAGTAGGAACACTAGGATTGCAGAGAAGCTAAAGAGCCTGGACTTAACATGGGTTCTGGGGATTCAGAAGTGGTTCTCTACATTTGCACAACAAACACTTTACCTATTAATCATCTTCTCAGCCCTAGCCTGTTGCTTTTGTTGATGGGCTATGCATATGGGGCAAACACATTTTAACAGTGTATAGCGATGAGCTGGTCCTTCCTACCCTAGATCTTTCAGTTCTTTTTCAGAAGCAGCTGGCAGTGCCTTCATGGTTTCCTGTGTCTTACTTTCCTGTGGTTCTCTTTCTGAAGACATGACAGAGAAGTCGTGACTATCAGCACCACCCCGTGTTTCTGACAGCTTTATGTGTTTAGTCAGGAGTACATTCTGTGAATATAGTATCATTGCTATTTCAGCTCTGTCTTTTAGTTTTTGTCATTATTCTTGTGTGTGTGTGTGTGTGTGTGTGTGTGTGTGTGTCTGTGTGTGTGTCAGCCTCTGAGTATGTATGTGAGAGTACAGGTTCCTGTGGAGACCAGAGGTATCAGTTCTCCTTGGAGCTTGAATTACAGGGGTTGAGAATTGCTCATCATGGGTGCTGGGAACTGAACCCAGGTCCTCTGAAAGAGCCACATATGCGCTTGGCTGTTCTGGAACTCATTCTGTAGACCAGGCTGGCCTATCTCTGCCTCCTGAGTGCTGGGATTAAAGGGGTGCCTGGCTTTATTAATGTATTTTATCATTTACATTTGCTTCAGTTTTAATGATTTCTTGATTATTAGTTGATAAAGATACACTTTCATGTTAGTTTAAAATTAAACAATTCCATTTTAAAACATGTTTGAACTATTAATAGTGTATTCTCTGTATATTTATGTTGTTTGTGAAAATAATCCTTATTATGTTACTATAAATCAAACAAAATACCTTTTGTGTATGGTTTACTCTATGTAGTTGAGGCTTCAAACATCATCTTGTAACCCCAATCTGTTGAGTGCTGGAGTTACAACTGAACCACACCACCCTCTACTCCTGAAATTATTAACTGTGTTTTATTAAGGTGATATGAAAAACAAGTTGGGTGAAGAAACATTAAGAAATGTCCTTAAGATGGGGTTGGAGAGATGGCTCAGTGGCCAAGACACTGGCTGCTCTTCAGAGGACCTGGGTTCATTTCCATTTCCCACATGGCAGCTCACTACTCTCCAGCTGCAGGGGATCGACATCCTCACACAGATGTATACAGACAAAAGAGCAATGCGCATAAAATAAAAATAGTTTTTGTTAAGAATGCTGAAAGTAGGAAACAGCACACCAAATGGATATTCAGTACCAAATGCTCAGCCCTGAAAACATACGTACGAGTAAGATTATGTAAACTGAGGTTGTGTTCTGTGTCTAAGAAGACACATAACTTTATCTGAGGAGCAGCCTGTCTTTGTCCTTTTGACCTAGTCTCAAATCCAGACTCCTGTGTAAATTAGGAAGCTTGAAATCAGAATGGGAACCCTCATTTTCAGATTCTTTGCCTTTGCGTTTGATCTTACATGAACCATATAGAATGCCAGCAATATTTTCGTTCGTGTCTTATGTATGCAGCCATAATTTTTAACATAAAAATTGTGTGAAAAGTATAATAAAAATCTTAATGGTAGTTCGGTTCTTTTAGATTTTACCTTAGTGGATCATGAAAGTTAGGAGCAAAATGAGATTAACTTGGTGGAACAATGGTTTCCTACTATGTATTATTAAGTGAGTATAGTTTGATATTAATCTTTTAATTTTTAATAATTATTTCAAGTTAAAAATGAAAATGGTGCCGGGCGTTGGTGGTGCACGCCTATAATCCCAGCACTTGGGAGGCAGAGGCAGGCGGATCTCTGTGAGTTCGAGGCCAGTCTAGTCTACAAAGTGAGTTCTAGGATAGCCTCCAAAGCTACAGAGAAACCCTGCCTCAAACAAAACAAAAAAATGAAAATGGTACTTGGAAGAAACAAGTGGCTGGTGTAAGTTCTCCCATATCTGCAGGCAGTTCAGGAGGGCAAAGTGAAGACTACTTTCAAACAACTGCAGTTTTGAAAGTCCTGTTTTCTGATAGGCAGAGGAAAACACCAGCCAACACTTTTCTTCTCACCAGGTTCAATTATAGGCGACTGTCTACAAGGCAGCTTTAACTTGACCTAGCTTTAAAGCAAATGCTCATGTTATTATTATTTCATTTTATAGATTGCACAAGGCCATTTTCATGCATTACAATAAGCGTATTTCCTTCTTTATGTACTTGACTTCCTTCTGAGCTTTTAGACTGAACTTTCTCCCACGTGTAGTCATTCCTTTGGGAGCTGAACTTCTCAAGATGCTCAGATCCAGTATGTGATCAAGAGTGACATTATCATGTAGGGGATTCTGTGAATAATTTTGGGAGGAGGTTCTGGGTTTTTAAATGAATCTTCAATTTACTGTCTGCAGTATTAGGGAGTATTAAATGATGTTGAACTGATGTTTCAATTTTCAGACGAAAGCTGGCCAGTTTATGAGAAGCAGAAAAGAAATGCTTAAGATTGCTTCGCTTTGTTCACTTTTAAAAACGTAGTATTTCAGGTTAGTTGACATGGTGATGTACTCCCATTACCTGAGAGGCAGTGACAGTATCAGCTCATGGGGTCATTCTTCATTGCATCCTTGTGGCAGCAACCCCTCCCATCCCCCAAAACAAAACAAAACTCCCCCAAACTAGAAAAAAGGGAAGTCAATCAATGTTATGTTTGCTGAGCCAAATTCTCTTTTGATTAAAGTTTCGTGCCTAAATACATTCTGTAGGTAGAAATCAATCTTTTTTTTCTAGTACGAGGAAGTATTAAATGAATTTGATATTTGGGTTGAAGACTGAGTGTTTTGTTTCTTTTGTACTTTTAGAACATATAAATTTTATCATTTGCAGTTGACTGTCTTGTAACTTTAAAGTTTTTAATGGTCAATAGAGACAAGTCTGATGTGGATTGTATTGTGACAGACCATAGAGGACACCTCCAGTGACAGATTCCATAAGGAAAATTAATAATCTGGGTACAGTAGCACACCTTTAATACCAGCATGGCAGAGGCAGGATAAACTCTTAAGTGCAAAGATAAATGGAGCTACATAGAGAGACTCTGTCTCCAAAACAACAACAAGAAGAAAACACAACCTCCACAGGAAACCTCTCAGATTACAATAAGAGATTGTACAGTGTAAAACCTGTCTGGCTCCATTTCAGACACTAAAGAGAACTTGCATCATCAGCTACAACCAAGGTTTCCTTTGTGAGCATAGTGGGCACACAGGATGAGTAGTAGTAGTAACTTAAGAAAATGCCAAGTGCTAGATCTCATTGAATAAGTATCATTGGGACCACTGAGAAAGCCTTCCCCTCCAGCCCTTTTCTTGGGAGGTTTCTCCAGCCATCATGATGTGTAAAGAGAACTGTGTTTGTGAAAAGCATGAAGATTGCTGGAACTCCTACCTGCTCACCTGAGAACCACTGGATTTTGAATACAGGATAAGTGAAGACTTGGGTCTTCAAACTTCAGCTGCATGTATATTTCCCCTTGCTACTCAGGATGTAGAGAGAGGAGAATCAAAAGTTAGAGACTAGCCTGGGCTACATAATGACTCGAATAAGCTTTAGCAAAGCAGTGGGCTGGAGGTACAGAGAGCTGACTGGTGCAAAGTCTGATTCCAGTTTCAGAACTGCAAAGCGACACCACCACCCCTTAAACATGGGGATATGGGATTATTTGACCATAGTGTCGTGCCAAAAACAGTCTTTGGGGACCTGTAGGTTTCTACCTTATATCTCTCTCTCACTTCAGTGCTTGCTCCCCCTTCCTCTTCACAGAAAAGGTAAATTCCACTCCTCTCCATTGCTACATCGAAGCAAAGTAAACAGGTTTGCATTCTACACAATCCAGTTAGTACATGTTTGCATATTTCTTGCACTCTTTTAATGCTACTTGATAGATAAGTGCACAGAAATTAGAACTCTGGGGACACATCATTAATACTTTTGTAAAAAATGCTGCTACAATTACAGGTCCTTTTGGAATAAATCATGGGATTGAACTTCATTCAGATGTGGTGGAATATGCCAAGGAAAAACTGGAGAGCTTCATCAAAAATAGCGATAGCTTTGATAAGTAAGTACTTCTGCCTGTAGTTGTGGTGAGAGAGCAGCTAATGAATATGTGCAGTGTGCCTGTTCTTGAACAGTGTCAGCTTATTGATCCTGGCTAAATGATTACAGCAGAAATCGGTGTGCTATGCAATGAGGGAAAAATGTAGGAAAATTACCATGCAATGTCTTACTAAATTACAGATAGGTAGTCTATGGTTGCTAATCTCTCATTTATTAAATGTCATATGGGTATCCTTTGGAGAGAAAACACAATGTTTGTGCCCACAGTACTTTTCTGTAACTGGTTTTAAAACTTTGGGTAGTAGTTTAACGGTCTGTCCTCTGAGTGTACCTTAATTTGTATGTCAGCATATAAGGGTCCCTCTTTACAGTATCTAGTTACTTCATAGTAGTAATTACTGCAGAAATACATCTGTGTGTATCACTATGGAATTGTGTTTGAGATGGCCATTTTATTGAATTGTTTACACTGAACCCAGACTCCCCTTCTCAAGACATACTACATAGGTGTTGATACTTGGCCAGAAGTGAAAGTAAAGATTTGAATTGTAATCACATTGAAATTCTCCCTTTACAGTTTTATGGAATAAAGGCTCTTATTCTTGAGTTAGAGTAAAGCCCTTGAATTGAAATATCTTACTACATGTTGGGCTTTGGCATGTCATTTTTCTGAATAACGTGCTATAGAGAAAGCCTAAAAAGGATAGGAAGCACACGTTTAGAACACAGTCCCTACACAACAAGGTTTCAATGTAAAACTGACCCATGTCAGCTCCAACTGTAGCTGCCAGTGTGGGAAACAGAGCGTGTGTGTGTGTGTGTTGTGTGTCAGGGTGGGGTGCTTCTGGGCTACCACATGGGCTGTCAGCTCAGAGAGCATACCTAGAAGAGAGTTCCAGAAGCCAAGAACACCCTAAAAGTCTTCTGGGGAGTATATTTTCCTTTTCTGCCCTTTTACACTTCTCCTTACCCTTTAATTTTTGTTTCCTTCATTGTTGTGGGTTTGTGTCTGTGCTGGTATGAATGATGCTTGAAGTGGTTAAAGAACACAAAGCTGAGACTCCTGGAGTTCAGGCAGCATAGGTGTGACTGCAGGCGGATTATTCAGCACTGCGCACCAGAGGTGTGACTGTAGTGGATTATTCAGCACCTGTGCAACACAGGTGTGACTGCAGGCGGATTATTCAGCACTGCGCACCAGAGGTGTGACTGTAGTGGATTATTCAGCACCTGTGCAACACAGGTGTGACTGCAGCTGGATTATTCAGCATTTCATGCAGTATTGAGGGTGTACAGATGCTCAGGTTTTTTTTTCTGTAATAAACACAACAAATATAAGTCAGCCAGTTACAGTATCAGTTTGCAGAACAGCTTGTCCCTTGTTTAGGTTTATTATGTGTATGAGTATTTTTCCTACATATTTTTGCGTGCACCACATGCATGCCTGGCACACAAAGGAGAGGCCATGGAGGAGGACTGCTTACTACCTTGTTCTCTGTGACTTGCTCAGTCTGCTTTCTTGTACGACCAGCCTTGGAGTGCCATTTCCCACAGCAGCAGACTGGGCCCTCACATGTCAATCATGAATCGTGAAAATGCCCCACACACTTGCCTACAGGCCAGTCTGCTAGAGATTTTTCAGTTGAAGTTCCTTCTTCTCATATGACCCTAGGTTATGTCAACTTGACAAATTAATCAGAACAGGTATGAAATATTATTTAGTGTTCAATTTCACATTACAAATGGGTCTTGTATTCAAAGAGTGACTAGTACTAGAAATTTGTTTCATTTCGCATAAAGTAACAACTGGTAGGAAATTAAGTAATCAAAGTTGATTTGTTATTCATTGGGCTAGTGCTTTATTCTTTTACATAATTTCATTTTGGTAACTAGTTAGAGGATATGATATTTTTCTTCCTGTCATTTGTATTTTAATGATCTTTTACTTTATTTTTTTACTGTCTGGGATATTATTCCTACTTTCAATTAAGTATTACAATATTTACAAAACACACATTTCCTCTTCTAAACAGTTTCATATTTAATAGTGGACAGGGGTATGAAGACATATATTAATCATTAACAAAATAGGTACCAAGGAAAATGGATCATTAATTTTGTATGGTTATCTCATCATCTCTAAAATTTAGCGTGGGGAGAACAAGTGTTTAAAATTCAGTTCTGTTCTTTAGGGAGTCCAGAGCTTTGCCATCATCTCATTCATTCAAAAATGTTGCTGTGTTACTTTAAAGGTTTTCTAATGTATATCTGCTGGAGTTCAGGGTGAACACTTCACCAAGAGAGCTATTAACTAACCAGTGTTAGGAAATGTAATACATGATGTAGAAATGCAAGTGTGTGCGATGTGTACAAACTTGGTCCTTATGTCTTAAATCATATTTGATAGAAGAGTTCTTAGTGTATGTCTGTTGAATTGTGTCAACACTGCATGAACAGGTGAATGACTTAGAGCAGCTCCTCAGAGTTTATTGTATTAGGACATAGGAAACTGGAAGAAAGAACTTACTCCTTAGTGATGGTGTTCACTGAACTTCCTTATGAACTGGCCTGATTTCAAAGGTCTACCTAAACACAAATGACCAGATGATTTTTTTTTTAGGATTCCTGGGCTAAGTGGTCTCTGGCAGCAGACAGTGATTTTTTTTACCCCTGCAGGAAAAGGTGGCTCTACTCTCAAGAAAACAGATGGACTTGGCATGTTCTAGCATTGCCCTGCTGATGCTAGCAACCTATAATAGTCTTTGCATACCGCAAAATGTCATTTTTATTTTATTGAATATTTTTATTACATCTACTTACAGGAGTTAATCCTTGCCTCCCTCTATGTGGTCCTGGGATCAAAGCCCAAGCTCTCAGATTTTTCAGAGAGCAACTTGACTCACCAAGTCAAGAGTTCATTTTGTAAAAGTTCACTCCCATCTAGACTGGTTTTGGGACATTCTTTGCTGGGGATTTTGGGAAGATTGGGTGCTTAGTTGTGGGTTCTCTGCAGACACCAGGGCCGGCAGAGTAGGGAAATGGGGTTCAGCACAATTCGGTAGCTGGTGCTGAGGCAAACTTTAGAGTCTGACACAGGCAATTTATTTCAGGCACATTTAAGCACAGCACAATTGTAGAAGAAGTTTCCTGATGATAATTAAATTGGTCTCATGTGTACAACAAAGTTTAAGGCATGTTTACATGGAAACTCTTTACAAAGTACATGTGACCTTTTCCATAAAGATGGGTCCTGTTGACTGAGAAGCAATGCTCAAGATTAGCATCTAGGGACAGTGAGATAAATGTAAAAGTTTGGGGGATCCAGGTGAAGCCCTAAGGATAGCACAGACCACCATGTTATTAACAACATTGACTCCCAGTTTTCTGGGCTGAAAACTGATGTGCATTCCTGGTTTCCCTAGTGCTTATCTGTGAGCACAAGGATCTTGTGCTCTTTACATTTAGTCACCAAGAGGAGGAGGAAGTTGAGGGAGTCAGATTACCTTAATTCAGTATTTATGCAGTAAACAAAATACATATCTTCAGCTGTGAGTACTTGGATGAGTATCTAAAGAAGCTTGAACTATAAACTTTGACCACATGGAAGAGTTTGTCATTAGTAACACATTTGCTTATAGCTGTGCATATGAGTTTATTTAGTATATGTGTGCATGCACAGTTGATTAGACTCTTTGGAACCATACTTCCTAGAGTTTCTGTAAAGTCAGTAGGTTGTATTTCCCTCAGAATGACTAGAGAGAGGATTTTGGAAATGTTCTTTTCTCTTTAGCCAAATGAGCATAGTCTGCATAGTCTTCCTGCAGAGAGTGGATCCTTATTTCTGTGTAATTGGGAACATAAGTCAATCATACGTGATGAAAACAGTAGTGGGTGGTCAGACCGGTAAGTCTTCTGTCTTAGACCAGTGCTTCTCAACTCCTGGGCCGTTACCCCTGGGCATTGAACAACCCTTTCAACACAGGGGTCATCATATCAGATATCCTGCACATCACATATTTACATTACTTTTCTTAACAGCAGCAAAAACAGTTATGAAGTAGCAATGAAAATAATTAATGATGGTTAATTTCACGTGGAACTGTATGAAAGGGTTGCAGCATTAGGGAGGTTGAGAATTGCTGTCTTAGACTCTGGCCAGTTAAAACTGATTGCTTTTTTTCCCCATTGTTTCTTCTTACAAATAAGCTGCTACCAATAAACTATACAGCTTAGCTACTTAGCCCTGGTTACAAAATGTAAAGCAGCATTGTTATACGTATAACATATATCCCTCAGATAAGAATCAGGCAACACCACTGATGTGTTTGCACACACTGCACAGAATAAGGCAACTCCTGCTTTTACTTATAGTTAGAGGGTTATTTTCCACAGGTGACTTACATTTGAAAATTAGTGCTTCTCTATTCAGCTTAGTTTTATCACTGGTGTAGTCTCTTGTGTCATTCTTGAGAGAATTGAAGTCATTTTGCTTTTGTAATTCATTATACTTAGTATTTCTCAATACTCCTTAGACGTTTATATATCCTACTAAGTGTTCAGAAATAGTCTTATACAAATTATTGCAAGTTGTAAGCAGTTTTTTTTCCTCTTTGTGGTACTGAGGATTGAACCCAGAGCATTATATATACTAAATGGTTCTTCCACTAGACTGCATCCTCAGCCCCTTTAAAATATGCTTTTGAGCTGGCCATGATGAACTGTGCCTGTAATCCCAGCACTTGGGAGACTAAGGCAGAAGAGTTACTGAGTGTTCCACGCTAGCTAGCCTAGGGTAGACTACAGAGTCAAACCTTGTCTCAGAAACATTTCTTCCTTAATTCCTTCCTTCCTTCCTTCCTTCCTTCCTTCCTTCCTTCCTTCCTTCCTTCCTTCCTTCCTTCCTTCCTTCCTCTCCTCCCTCCCTCCCTCCCTCTCCCTGCCTTCCTTCCTCCCTTCTTCCCTCCTCCTTCCCCTCTCTCCTTCCTTCTTCCTTCCAGTGCA